ATACATATATATATATATATATATATATATATATATATATATATATATATATATATATATATATAAACACTTATTTTTATGTGCTTTCCTTTTTTGATTGTCTGTTTCAGGAGTTGTACAGCCAGTCCTATGATGAGATTGGAGTTATGTTTGCCTCAATTCCCAATTTCTCTGACTTTTACACTGAAGAGAGCATCAATAATGGTGGCATAGAATGCTTACGTTTTCTCAACGAGATCATCTCAGATTTTGACAGTGTAAGTTTTTTCTTTGTGATTTGTTGGTTTATAAAAGCCTGTTGGGTTTAAACCACCTACAGTCATATAATGTGTGATTTTTGTCATAGAAATTCTAAATAAAAAGTGATAAAGACAGCATGTAACATACATTTTCAAGTCTTTATTGTTCTGAGGCTTACCTAGTATATGTTTTCTTAGTTTACAATTTTATTGTAAAAAGTATATTTTAATGTAATGTAAAAATATAAAGATATAAGTTTTTTTAAGCAGTGTTGTTGGGCCCCAGATTAGCTTTGACCCTGGCAAAGCAGCAGCCTAATGTTTCCTCTTTCAACTGGACAACTTCCAGCATCACTGATGTCCACCAACAGGTCCTCAGTTGCTCTTGCTACAGCCCAGTCAACTTCTGGCCACAGCTCTTACAAACTGCGTCCCTAACAGAGCTCAAAGAGGAGCTGGACTCTCACAGCCCTTATCCTGTTTTTGAACTAAAATGTTTAGCTGTTAAAAAAAATCAGAAAGTCAGAAAATAAAGAGCATGCGGAGAAACATGGCGGCAGACAGGTGAACTGCATCTCGGCTAGGGCTGGGTACCTTTCTAAAAAAATCTGTACCGGTGTCGGTACCTTCACTTCGGTGTCGGTTCCTGGACGGTTCTTTTTTCGGTACCAATTTTGTAATTACTATTAATTCTAACAAGAATAAAATTACGTTACACATTACAGTACAAATTGTGAGTTTTATTTTTGAACTTTTGGTATTTTTCTATTCCAAGCAGTTTTCTTACATAAAAACAAACAAATAATTTCCAGGTCAAAAGACCAGTTACAAACCAGTGACACTTCAGTGTCTAATGCTCGCTGCCACACACTGAGGACCTTTTCACTTAACAGTTTTTCTTCAGAAAAATCAACATGTCTGCTTTCTCTGGACACAAACAAGCCCACTCCTGGCTGATGGTGCCTCCAGCAGTAGAAAATGTTCACTCTGAGGCTGTAGATGATGCTTGTTGCACACACAGATACCTGGTTGTCAGTTTGACAGCACTGACATATTGTCCCTCACATTCCACCAGCAGGTCACTGGATTCACTGAGGTAGGGATGATGCTGACATCTGCACCTCTGTATCTCTGCCTGAATCTTCTCTGTGATTCTCTGGGGTTTAGGGCTCTGATCATCTCCCTAATTGACATTAGAACAAAACATCAACAATAACATGGTTGTGTTATTATTACTCAAAAAACATCTAGGCTGAGAGATAAAAGCTTAACTGGTCAACAAAATCTTTTACAGTTTACTTACCTCCACTGTGCAGCTCCACTGTAGAAAAAGCATCAAACTTTTAACAACAAAGTCTGATTGTCCTGTGGCCCCCACCTCGCTTTTCTTTTGTCCTCTTCACATCTGGGTCAGAACCTCCTGTGAGGAGAGCATGAACATAAACAGTGAACATTAGGTGAACTGTTTAAGCAGCTGACTCGATGGATGAGCAGTTTTACAAGCTAAGATTTGTTACTGTCATTCTTTAGTTAGCTTCTGAGTTTAGCTAGCCACGTAGATAAAATAAATTTACACACTAATATCTTAAAGTTAGCGTTACATGGATCATAATTTATTTCACCGCGATGTACGTGTTAAGCTGCAGTTACGCTAACAAACGTAAACTCACCAGCTGAAGCACACAGAGCCGTCCTCGTTGTTCTTTGATGAAGAGTCTGGTCGTGGAGATAATGAATCAGGACGTTCAGGCTTTCACAGGCTGACTTTAATGCTGAGAGGAGGAGGGGGGAAGCTAATGAACTCTTCTCTCCTCACAGAAAAACACGGAGCAACTTTCTGCAGCACGTGTTGTCGAAGCCGTTTGACAACACGCGCTGCACACGTGAACCCGTCTGTTGGTGTCACTAGCACCATAGACATACATTACAGTGTACATAGATTAGGTACGGCAGCTCTATACAGCTCTGGGTGTTATCTGGGTGTAGTCTGTTTGTCATATGTCTGGTGTTTTACCAGCCTGCATGCTGAAACCACATGATACGTTACAGCCAATACCAAAACTTGACACCGAAAGAAGAGTGACGTTTCAATACATACACCGACCGGTGCAGTTCGGTCAGTGCCATAAAAGAACCTCGGTTCGGTACTAAGCCCTAATCTCGGCTGAACTCCTGTCGGCCCTGCTGAAAAGCTGCGTTTTGATTGTATCCTCGCTGCCGTCAAGATGGATTTTGTCTCTGAGTCTGGTGTCGCCGTGTAACTAAATGAACAGATTTGCAATATGGCCTCTAGGCAGAAGTCTTAAGATTTTGGTCGCTTCTCCCACGCGGCCCGCTACCGTGGCCGCAGCCTTGAGACGCCGTGATGGAGAGGTGGCAAGTACAGCTGGTGGGTCTGCAGGTGTGTCGCCCCCACCTTCGCCGAGCTCTGGAGGGACCTACGAGTCAGCTCTGAAGTCAGACATTCTGGCCTCAATTAAATCCAAAATCATAACGATAATTAGGATGGAAATAAGAGCGGCTCTGATGGATCATGTTAATTTTATTAAGAGTGAACTGAAAGCAGTTTGAGCAGAGCTTGCTAACACCACTGCTGGCCTCAGAGTGGAGTTTGACCAAGTTAAACTGAATGTTTCACAGAATGAGAACGGTCTGTCCTTCATCTGGGATGAAATAGAGAAGTTACATGGGACGGTGAAGGAGTTCAGGGATGACGTAAATGGGCTTAAGAGACAGTTTGGATCCGCGGAGGGGCATACGAAACGTGATAATATTAGAATTATTGGACTTTCTGAGTCGGCAGGTGAATGTACCCCCACGATGATAGCAAAAATACTAATGGAAGCCCTAAAATTGAGCATATTACCACAGATTGATTATGTGTGCCAGACACAGGACAGAATAGGTTCAGATGGGAGATCAGGAGTTATGGCCAGGCTTCATTACCATCAAGAATGTGTGGAAATATTATGGCAGGCACGCAGCAGTGGCCCAATCCACTTCAAAGAATCAGCTATATTCATCGCAGCTGATAATGCCCCAAGAGTGTCAAAGGCACGGGCAGCATTCACGGATGTGAAACAGCTCCTGCGGAACAGATCAAGGGTCCGATATGGTCTCCTTTTTCCAGCTCGGCTTTGTATTACACATGGAGAGACGGACAAGGTGTTTGCCAACTCCATTAAAGTGACGGAATACATCAAGAAAAATATAATTCCAGTGACAGGTGGCGAGGATCAAAACAAATCAAAATAAACCACAGGTCCAGCCTCTCTCAATCAGCAATTTTTATTAAACTTGTGTCTGACTCAATAGCTGGCTGTGGTCCTTTGATGGTGATATGTCCAACATTTTATTTGTATTGGGGGGCAAGTGTAGTGTTAATGCGAACTGATTACCATAAGTTTTGGTATACAGTGCACACCCTATAATAGGAGCGTTTTTCTCGTTCTTTTTTCTCGTTCTTTTTTCTCGTTTTATTTTTTGGGATTTTTTTGTAATGGGAGTGACTCCATAGTGTTACCGCTCTGAGATGATTGTCGTACACATTTGATATTTACGTAATATTAGCATTTTTTTGTTTGTTTATTTTTGTGTTTTGTTTATTTTTATTACTATTATCACGTGTGGGCAGACAGGAGCTCAGATGGTTGGATTGTGTTCTCTAGGTAAGCACTAATGTGTGGATTTTCACTTGACAAGGTGTTTTGTTCTCTCTATATTTGGGTAGGAGAGAGGGATGGGTTTATACCAGGTCAGTCTTTTGGGGGTTTTGTTTCTTTTACCAGATATTGGCTCACAATTTTTTTTAATGTAAATTATTTCCTGCTGTCCAATTATGACCAGCATTAAAGATGTTGACCACTCTAGTGGCTGCCCAGTTAACTGTGTAAGCCATCCATCCATCCATCCATTTTCTTCCGCTTATCCGGGGTCGGGTCGCGGGGGTAGTAGCCTAAGTAGGGAGGCCCAGACTTCCCTCTCCCCAGCCACTTGGGCCAGCTCTTCCGGGGGAATCCCGAGGCGTTCCCAGGCCAGCCGAGAAACATTGTCTCTCCAGCGTGTCCTGGGTCTTCCTCTGGGCCTCCTTCCGGTGAGACGTGTCCGGAACACCTCACCAGGGAGGCGTCCAGAAGGCATCCTAAACAGATGCCCAAGCCACCTCAACTGGCTCCTCTCGACGTGGAGAAGCAGCGGCTCTACTCTGAGTCTCTCCCAGATGATCGAGCTTCTCACCCTATCTCTAAGGGAGAGCCCAGACACCCTGCGGAGAAAACTCATTTCGGCCGCTTGTATCCGAGATCTCATTCTTTTGGTCACAACCCAAAGCTCGTGACCATAGATGAGGGTAGGAACGTAGATCGGTCGGTAAATTGAGAGCTTTGCCTTTTGACTCAGTTCTCTCTTCACCATGACAGACCTGTACAGCGCCTGCTTCACTGCAGATGCTGCACCTATCCGCCTATCGATCTCGCGTTCCATTTTTCCCTCATTCGTGAACAAGACCCCAAGATACTTGAACTCCTCCACTTGGGGCAGGACCTCCTCCCTGACCTGGAGAGGGCACTCTACCCTTTTCCGGCTCAAGACCATGGCCTCGGATTTGGAGGAACTGATCTTCATCCCGGCCGCGTCACATTCGGCTGCGAACCGCTCCAGCGAAAGCTGTAGATCACGATCTGATGAAGCCAATAAGACCACATCATCTGCAAAAAGCAGAGACGCAATCCTAAGGCCACCAAAACGGATCCCCTCAACACCTTGGCTGCGCCTAGAAATTCTGTCCATAAAAGTTATGAACCGAATCAGTGACAAAGAGCAACCTTGGAGGAGTCCAACTCTCACTGGGAACAAGCCCGACACTGCCGGCGATGCGGACCAGGCTCTGACACCGGTCATACAGGGACCTAACAGCCCGTATCAAAGGGCCCGGTACCCCATACTCCTAGAGTATCCCCCACAGGGTTCCCTGAGGGACGCGGCCGAACGCCTTCTCCAAGTCCACAAAGCACATGTAG